ACTGGTGTCTAGGAAATGTACTTGCTCTGTGGACTGATCCATGCTGAGGTTGATGTTGTGTTGAAAATTGTTGAAGCCCATGTGGAATTTCTTAAGAGCTTCTTTCCCATGAGTCCAAATGGTGAAAATGTCATCAATAAATCTTTTTTTTTAACAATTTTTAATTGCTTTTCACTATAAACTACAAAACTAAACACTACAAATTCAGAGTACCAAGGTACATTAGTGAACTATCTTGCACTTTGAATATTTCCTTACATATTTATGTTTACAATATATCATTTAATTTCTAAGTAATAAATATTCAAATAGAAAATACAAACATTTCTTGATTTTAGTATCGCATATGGGCAATAATATAAATTCTTTAAATTTTAACATAGAAAAATCTCAGATCTTCATTTGGATGTCTTCTTGTCTTTGCGCTTCTTCTTCTCTTGTCAGGGGATTTTAACCTTATAAGATCTGGGGGCAGCAGCTCCCATATCGGAATCAAAGTCAGAGTCAAAGATTTCACCCAGGGACACCTAAGTAGATGAGCTGTCTGTAGCTGACGCCTGATGATCGCTATTTTCTTCTGTTGCCTTCTTTTCCTCTGCTTCGTTTCTTTGTTTTGTCGGAGTTTGATGCTGCTTCAGGAATACTTCTGCTTTAGAAAGAGAGTCAATCTTTTCCTTCTTCTCTTTGTAGTTGAATATAAGACCGTCTGGTAAAATCCATCGGTATTTTGAAGAAATGTTGTGATGTTTCTGTATTGCTTCCTCTTCTTACGTATTTCAAATGGAACATCGTTCAGTATTTTTATCTCTTCCTCTTGAATTTTTAATTTTGTGGCAGTAGAAGCTTTAAGTATCAAGTCTCTTGTTGATCTTTTTGCAAATTTAACAAATATTTCCCCTGGAAGATTATTATTTTTTCACAAACTCTGAGTAAGTTCTATAAATCATGTCTATATCTGCTTGCAATATTTCAGGTTTGCTGTTGATCAAGGGGGGCAATGCTTCACTTAAGATTTCTCTTAAATTTTCATCTTTTTCCCCCGGTACCCCTTGAAATCTTAAAACATATAGGGATCTTTCCATTTGTAATGGTAGTAGCTGTTGTTTTTCAGAAGCTCTTTCTTTATCTGCAATGTCCATTCTCTGATCCATTTCTCTGATCCATTTCTCTGATCCATTTCTCTGATCCATTTCTTTGGTCTTAGTTTCAACCTTTTTTAGCTTTTTGACTGTCTTTACCTTTGGTCTCCTTCAGCAAATCATCAAATTTCTTATTGAGATTCGTCAGCTGATCCATCGGGGCGCAAGGCTTCAGAAATCGTACCAGCTATATCGGTGGTAGTTTCCGGTTTTGTGACCGGTGATGCTGTGCTGGCGCTTCCTGTGGTGCCTCTGCCTCTGGGCGCCATTTTCCGCTCTTGCTATGACATTGTTTAGATTAAGGTAAAGGTTCTTAAAAGTTCTAAGGTTTTCCTATGCACTGAATATCAAGTCCCACTGCGATCCGCTTGGGTTGGGTGGGTTTTTTACAGTTTATTGTCGGCTTGCTTCCTGTTTCACTGCTTTTTGCTCTGTGGGGTAGGGTTCTTCCTCCCGAGAGTCCCCCCCTTTTCTCTATGGGGCTTTGCCATCTCACTGTCAGTTCCTCCACCCTCTTTGTGTTTGTCTTTTTTAAAAAAACTTCTTCACTCACTTTTTCCCCCCGCTGGGTGTTTTCCCGTAGGGAGAGTCCTTTTGCTTAAGTCCTTGCTCACTCTGGTCCAGTAACGTCTCTGGTCACCATTGCTGGCCTCAGGGCAGCGGGACCTTAAGGAGCTAAAAAGAGTCTCAGTCCTCCAGCCACGGCTTCAGGAGCAGCTTCTTCAGTGCTCCAGGCTAGAAGCTCTCTACAAGAGCTTCAGGGGGGGATCAAAAGCTTCCGAGCCCCCTCCCTGCCGCCTCGATCCAAATTTCACCCATCTGAGCTTGATAGAATGCGTTCATTCATGAGTAGCCAAAACCGGAAGTCTCTGATGTCATCAATAAATCTTGAGTACAGGATGGGTGTTAATGGGCAGGAGTTGAGCAAGTGTTGCCCTAAGTCAGCCATGAAAATGTTTGCATATTGGGGTGCCATGTGGGTGCCCTCAGCTGTACCATTAATCTGAAAGTACAAAGCTTTCAAATTTAAAGTTGTTGGGGAGAGAACAAATATGCTGTGGTAGTTTCTGGAATAACATTCCTGATGGCTTGTAGCCCTTCTTTATGGAGGTTGTTGGTAAGGGGCTGTTGCTTAGTGGTAGTGCATCTGCTTGGCATGCAAAAGGTCTCAGGTTCAATTCCTGGCATCTCCAGTTAAAAGGAGCTGGTAGTAGGTGATATGAAAGACTAAGGGAATCAGTTTGGTGTAGTGGTTAGGAGCGTGGACTCTATTCTGGGAGAACCAGGTTTGATTCCTTCTCCTCCACATGCAGCTGCTGGTGTGTCCTTGGGTCTGTTACAAGTTCTTTTGGAGCTGTTCTCTCAGAAGCAGTTCTCGAAAGAGCTGTCTCAACCCTACCTCTCTCACTGGGCATCTGTTGTGGGGAGGGGAAGAAAAAGGAGATTGTAGGCCACTCTGAGACTCCTTTGGGTAGTGAAGGGCGGGGTATAAATCCAATCTCTCCTCCTCCTCCACATAAAACCCTGGAGAGCTGTTGCCAGTCTAAATAGACAGAACTAATTTTGATGGACCAATGGTCTGATTCAGTATAAGGAAGCTTAGTGTGTGTACCTTTATATAGGTATTGTAACACTTTGTATATAAATAAAATCTTTATTAATTGCCCGCCTTCATACTGTGGAAGTCTGAAAGGTAACAAAACAATGACAACAACTGATGCAGGCTTCATTCTGGAGACTGGCCAGGCCACCTGTGCTTATTTGTAGAGCAAATGCTCAACCACTGGGGAGGAAGGTTTTGACATCTTTGGGTTTTTGTTTTTGTTTTGTTTTTTAAAAAAAACAGAACTGACAGGATGGGTGTGGCTCAGATCACATAGATCGAGGAAGAGATGGGAAATAGGTAGTTATGAAACAGGGTGTCTGGCAAAGTGGCATCCAGCAGGAAGCATTGCAGATAGGTACATTGCTAATGAAGATTAATGCCTCCCCTGGCTGAGGTCACTCCTGAGTGCTGGGAGAATCATATTACTTAATCTTCAGGCCTACATAATCAGCTGGTGATCAGCTTCATAGAAGGTTTCAGTGCCATCTGTCAGGAAGGAACTGTTGTAGTAAGGGAACTCCAAACCAGGTCATCTGTGAGTAGGCATGCCCCTCCTCTCTGTGTCATGTTTATTAATCATTTGATAAGTATGGTGAGTAATGGTTACGAACAACTCGTCACACCAATTGCAGATGAGATGGGGGAGGAAGTTCAGCCTGGGAAAATGGAATAGGAGCATAGGATTGGCAAGGTGCTTTGAAAGGAGTGGCAACTGAACTCACTGACCTGCCAATCATGATCTTTATAAAATTTATAGCCATCTGTGCTTCTCCATCTAAAATTCTGTCTTTTCTGTTAACTAGAGTTACTGACAGGGAGATGCCCTCACCCTTTAATAGTGTCTTATAGGATATAACTAAACAGAACTGGAGATCTGTTTCAAGAAACCTAAAGCAGCCATGGGAAGTGGCCAATTTGTGTCAGGGCCAGGATGCTAGGTTGCAAAGGGGGTAACCTTTTCCTCATTTCCCTTATGAAAACCTTCCTGAGCAAGTATGCTTTCTATATACTTTTAGATGAGGTTTTTGTTTTCCAAGGCTTTGTTTCTATCAGGTACCTATCCATTTTAAGGCAGGGTCCATATTTCTTTGTGTTACTATGAGTTACACTTAAGGAGAAGGCTTGAATTATGTTTGTTTTGCTTTAAAAAAAAAACTTCTTCATATGTGGGAACCCCTGTTGTAAGTAGAAGGTTTTACCAGGAATGAAGGTGGAAGGTAGGGTTACCAAGTACCTACCACGAATCGGCAGGGGACATATGGTCCCCGGCTGGAACATTCCTCCCTGTAACACACCATGCCGCACCATGCCATCGCCAGGAAGTGGTACCATCGAGTTTCCAGCCCCATAGCCAGAGCGTCACCTGGTGTCACTTCCTGGCGACAGCATGGTGCAGTGCGTCTGTTTTCCATGCAGGAATGGTCCTGAGAAGAAGTATGTGTCCCCTGCCGATTCTTGGTAAGCCTACAGTGGAAGGGACAGAGAGGAGCCTCCTGGGGGGGGAAGTGAAAAAGTTATAGTCCTCATGAGTAGAGAATGAGAAGTGTAATGGGGAAGAAAGTGCTGATGAGGCAGAGTGGCCAGGATAAGTATGATGGGAATTGAGCTCAGTCGCTTGTATCTTTAACCACAGGGGTTGCATATCCTGTGATTTAACAAGCCTGGAGGTTAGTTTTGTATATTGAAGAGGAGAGGCATATGCATCATTAACCTCTTCAATGCCAACTACTTACATTTTAGGATATGATCATAACTTCTTCCTCCATCATCCTTTAAGCTGTCCTCTTCCATTTTTAAAAGCAGCTGACTGGAAATCTTGAAAACTGATGTTGAAACAGGGGTAGAGAAAGTCATACTTGGCTGGTCTTACCATGAAGCAGTGTGAAGGAGATGCTTCAGGCAGCAGATGCTAGGAGATGCACCATCTTTCTCTTTCAACCTCTAACCTGGTGTTAAAGTCACCTGGGGAAAGAGCGTCATGCTGACTCTTTGATTCATGCATGAAAATATGCAAAGCTTAGATCCAGCCAAACATTTCTGTGGGCAGAAGGGTTTCCACCTGTGGAAAATGTATTTTTTTTTTGCCTCCGCCTCCCTCCCAAATTGCCCCCCCCCAATGCTGCAGCAGTCATGTTTCACAGGCAGAGAAGTGCTTAGTTGACTCCAAGCCTTAGACTGGCACTGCCCTGACTTGGATAGCCCAGGCTAGTCCGATCTTTGCAAATTAAACCTGCTATCTTCCTCTCCCCCTGCAGTGTTAATGAGCTCTATGTGGATGACCCGGACAAAGACAGTGGTGGCAAAATAGAAGTAACTTTGAACATCAGCTTGCCTAATCTGCACTGTGAATGTGAGTACTGGGTTTTGGGCCTGGATTTGCAATAGTGGTTGTGTAACCACTGTGTTCTTGAGTTGGCTTCATATTTCACATTCAGGTTGCTATGAGTAATTGTCATTCCTTCCTAATTAAAAAAAAGAAAATATTCAGGTTATTTTAAGGCTCATTTGTAAAAGAAAGAACGCTCTCTTTCTACCACACAGCTATTTAGGCAACTGATGTGCTAGGTGCTGTACTGACCACAGAAGTGACATCCTTCTTGAGGCACAGGGCAGGTGCAGTTCATTTCATGAGGACTTGTTTAGCCACTGTATCAAGACATCTGCTAATGTGTTTATTTTGAGTAGTTGGAAAGACTACCTGGTTCGATAGTCGAGGGATCTCTTCTTAGATGATGAATGGGAACACAAACATCTATTTTTTACACATGAGTTTCTGTGGGCGGCAGCAGCTAGCTGATTGGAGGCTTCTACATGCACATGCCCTGTATTTAAACTGGGGTATGGGCTAGTTGTTACTTGCCTTTCTGCTGTCTTTGGGTACCAAGCAGGTCGTTCACACTCATGAGAGTGTTGGCGGACTCATTTTGCTGCCCCCCTGTCTTGCCTAGCCAAGGCCAGTGAAGTAACAAATGAGATGGCTCTCCTCAGTAAAACACAAACTTTCTGATGTGATGGAAAGAGTCAGACAAAATGTGAGAAGTGGTTTCTAAGGCTCAGTCCACTCATACATCAGAATGAAGTGGAGTTGAAGTGAGTTCTCAGGTGGTAGAATGGACTTCAGAGTACAGGTGTGGGAATCATGTTTCTGATTGTCCCTTCTCTGTAATAAGGGGAATATTAGCATAGTGGGGAACAGACTGGACTAGAATCTCTTGTCTCTGATATGCTAGGGTTTGGGTTTTTTAAAAAATATGGAGTGAAATGGTATTCATCATGTGAACTGGGCACAGCCCTGTGGAGTTCAGGTGACGACCCCATGCCTCTGTTGTAAATATGTAGCTGTATGTAACTATGGCCTGATTGGAAACACTGTTCCCTCTAAGCTGAGTTAGTGTGAGCTAGCTCACAGTTTTTTAAAAGCCTCCGGCTCACACATTTTTGTCTTAGCTCAAGAAGGATGGCTCCTGAGCAAAACAATTTCTGCAGTAGCCAAATCACTTGCTCACAACTTTAATTCCAGTAGCTCACAAAGTAGAATTTTTGCTCACAAGACTCTACAGCTTAGAAGGAGCATTGAGTGGAAGTGGTGCAGCACCAACAGCAGCAGGGTAGGAACTGCTGTCACACATTGCTGATGCTTAAAAGAGAGCAAGAGGGGACAGCAAAGGGTGTGGGGAGATTGGGAGGAGCAAGCATGAGAGAAGCCTGCAGCCACCCAGCAGTATTTACATGGGAGGGTCTTCGCCTGCTGAAGGCATAGCTCTTTAGCAGCTCGGATCAAGATTCTGGGGCTGGGAGAGATACGTCATGCTGATTCCATCCTGTCCTCTGTTGGACCTGTAAAGATAAATGTAAGCATTCAAGCAAGTTTGGTAGGAGTAATCCAGCTAACCCAAGTGCCCAGAGAGAGACAGATCTAGCCCACATTCTGAGGCATATCAAGCCCCACCCCCATACATGAGGGACTCACACCCCACCTACAGTCTGAAGTGGTACAGGCCATTCTACCATGTCAGGGTTCTGTCACTACATTTTGATAGAGGTGATATATCTCCTACTGTATGCCCTACCACCTGGCTCATTCTGTAACCAGAATCCTATCCTCTATAGAAGAGGTACTTTTTTTCCTTAGGATTTTTTTCTGACGAGAATGTGCACCTATATTATGTTTGCCTTCACTAGATAACAAAAAAAATGTTCAGAAGGCCAAATGTAGCTGTTTTGGGAGAGTCTCCTGGACTTCTCTGTCACTTTGGTGTGAGGTTTGGGAGAAGGAGGTTGATACCCATATCCTGGTGACAGTTTCATAAATGGGTACAGTAGAATTCACTAGAATATTTAAAGTCAGTGAGACTTCACCAGTGTGAGGTGTCAGCAGATCTCCTAATGGAGACCATATAAGTAAACAAGTGCGAAGATGAGATAAATTTGTTGATGGTTATTCTTTCTGAGTAGCTAAGTGAATTTATTACATGGCAAGCAAATATTGAGTAAGAATTGTGCACACTTCCTCATGTTGGGTTATTTTTAACACATTGTTCTTTTCCTCCGTATACCCTTGACTCCTAAACATGAAGTGATCGGACTGGATATTCAGGATGAAATGGGAAGACATGAAGTTGGTCACATTGACAACTCAATGAAAATTCCTCTGAATAATGGGGATGGATGCCGGTTTGAGGGCCATTTCAGCATCAATAAGGCAAGTTGAAATAATATCCAAATTGTCACAAGTATTGAGATGAAACTGTTGTGAGTCTGTGCTATCAAATACTGTTTCAGAACAACTCTTCTTGCTCTTGAGTGCAACACTGCTGTGGGAGAAAAAGGATCAAATAACTGGGCCCTCAGTGAGCTTGGAAGATGAAAATAAGGATGGGAAAATCCAATATATACCATCATGGAACAATTCCACTTACCTAAAATCCTCAGGAGATCTCCTATCCAAGCACTGGGTTGGATCCAGTGCAAGAACCCTGCAAGAGGCAGGAGGGAGTGATTTCACTCTCTTTCCCCTCCTTGCTGCAGCCTCCCAACCCACATGGAGTATTACACCATGTGGGTTCTTTGACCCCAGGAATAAACTTTCCAGGACTTCTTGGGGGAGGAAGGGGAAAGCTTAAAAGATCGACGACCATCAGTGACTTCTTCTGATAGATCATGAGATCCAGCCACAGTTCAGAGTAGACCCAGACCTGCTTAGCTTCAATAAGTTTCTTGTGTCTTGTGCTTTCAGGTCATATCTTGTTGCCTGAATGAGAGTCGTTACCTGCCTAAATAAATCTTAGTTGATGGAATGATATGAATGGATTAAAACTGCATAAATTTGCATAGGGATGAAATGGTAATGCTGAAGTAAATATATTTTCTTTGCTGTTGGATATATGTATGAATTGGTTGCAGCTGGTGTCATCTGAAAGGGGGGAGGCCTATAGGAAGATGGCACTTGCTACCTGCAGATTCAGTTACATTAGAAACAGACATTTAAAAAAAAAAATGCATTACCTGATTAATCAGGGACATCTTTCTAGTCAGTCCAAAGGTTTGTAATCAGTACTCCAACGAGTTCATCATGTAAATGTTAATGGAACAGAGAGAGGATCAGGCACCCTGATGGGAAAAGGAAGTAATAGTGCACTGACACGTTGTGGTGTGTGGAAGCCTGGAGGGTGGGTAGACAAGGAATATGAAAGCTTTTTTTGAGTTCTTTGTGTCTTCTTTATGAGCACTGCATGTCTGTGTTTTGCTTTCTTCTCTCCTCCCAAATCATTGCACCTCCAGTTTGTGAGTCATTGCAGAGCAAAGGGGTGTGGCCATACCCATACAAACCTCCTTTCTGTTCTAAGGGTTTGCTCAGCTATCAAGGGACTCTGACTTGACAGAGAGAGATGCATTGGAGTTGAAGATGAGTGTTTTCATGTCTCACTGTGAGAGAGGCCAAGTTTCTCTCCCTGAAGCAGTGAAAAACCAGGCCTTGGGGGAGTCCACTTTGTGGACTGGGTGTGCCTGACAATGGATCATCTGGCCCTGTAATGACTCGACAGGGTGGGGAAGTGGGAGTATGTGACATGTTGCTAGCATAACAAGGACAGAATCTTAATTCATGCCTCCTTTTACACCACAGGCTACAAATTTGGCTGTTCCTTCCTCCACCTCCCACGATTTCATTTTAAAACATGCCTAAAAATAACAAGCAGGACCCTTTCTTGCTCTTGTGGCAGCATTAAAAATACCCAGAGATATCTTGCAGTTTTGTTCCATAAAGGGTGATGGCCTTTTCCCTTCTCAGCTGCTTTTCATGTCATCTAGGGTAGCTTGTGACTAATGGCCCAAGGCTAGAAAGACACAGGTCAGTTTTTCCTTACACTTGAAATGTAAGAATTTCCCCAGAAACGCCTTTGAAAGAATATTTGCTCTGCTGCTTACTGTCAAAGGTGACAGTCTTCTATTCTGTCCTGTGTAAAATATGCTCTTCCAACCATCACTTATATCCTTCCAGATTCATGATAACTTCAGGTTTTGAAGCATTAGCTCCATTAGTTCACTTGCAATACAATTAAATATATTTCTTTACTCATAATGGACTAATGCTTGTGGGCGATTACTTTGTATTAAAGAAATGTTTCTTTTCCTGCATTGTGGGAACGAAGAAGACCTTAGTGCTGGAAACAGTTGGGTAGGTGGTTATGAGAGGGTCTGCCCTCAATGCCCCTCTCCCTTCAAGTGGCAAACTATCTGAAGTCCTTCCCAGCATTGTGTCTGCTCAAGAAGGAGGGCTTTGTAATTTCATGGCTGGAGCACTTCCTGACAAACATATCTATTCAACCAGCTTATTGGTTTAAATTGTTTCATTCTTAAGAGGGAATCATATCCTTCGTAAACCATTTTTGCCTTTAGGACTGAAATGAGTTGGACTGGGAGCACACTACTTGTAAGGTTCTGCTTCAGCTGCTGTCAAGTGACACTGGGAGCAACCATGCTAGAGAATGGGTAGAAAAGGAAGTTGGACTTACTAGGAAGCTCATTTTTGGTTAATAGTTCGGAAATAGAGCAGAAAAGGGCTGACTCTTCCTCCTTCACTGAAAGTACAGCCAACTGAACCTTAATCTCTGATTGAAGAGGAGGCCCTCCCAGTCTTGGAGACTGAAAAAGCTGCTGCCATCAGTTATGCTGGGCTGGGTTATCACCAGTATTTGGATGACACTCTGCTCTAACCTTGTGCTTCCAGCCGGTCCCAGAGAAGCTACAGAAAATCCTGAACTGGTGCCTGGAGGCAGTTTTGGAGTGGATGAGGGCTAATAAATTGAAGCTTAAGCCTGACAAGTCTGGCCAGGATTTAAGGTGTCACTTCGATGGGGTTGTTACTCCCCTTGAAGGAGTGTTTGGTTTGAAGGCTTTTAATATGTGTTTTTGTTATTTATGTTTTTAATCTGTTGGCTGCCTTGGTATCCCCCATGAGGGCAGAAAGGTGAGGTATAAATTTCGTAAATAAATGAAATGAAATCAAACATACTACTTCCAACGGGCAGAACAATAACAAGAACCCCAACAGCATAGAGCTAAGGAAATGATTCCCAAAAAATAGATCTCTGGCCTAACCAGCTAGGGGCATGGTGTAAATGGATTCCGTGCAACTCCACCCCTGGAACTTCATTTGACCCCTCCTTGGGTGGAACTGCTAGGCGGGACCTACTAAACAGAAAGGAACTTCTATGGTAAGTCTAACTTCCCTTTTCCATTTAGTGGTAGGAAAACCAAAAATATACTAGAGCAGCTTCTCATCAGATCTTCCTTTTGTTAGTAGTAAGCTTGTTGCAGAATGTGCCTACCACAGATGTAAATCTGGGTCTTCTGTCACCCTGGTGGGTAATGCTTAGCAAGAAAGAAAAGAAGGGTTGGTCCTTCCTCTCAGTTGCCTTGACTTGCCATCACTGGTAATCATTTCAAGGTTCATCTCCCCATACTTTTTGTATCTCATTTTCATATGTTCCTCTGATTTGCTTTTAGTGTTTGCCGCTGTTAGGCCCCTGTTGTTGCTTTGGCACCTTCTGTGTCTCTGGGCTAAATATAATCTGGCTGAGTGACAATGACAGGCATATGAATGGTTGCTTAATTGGGTCTTTCATCCTACCAGCTAATAATGGTGGGGATGAGGCAAAGCTCTGAATGCCAGGTAGAATGGGCAGGAGGAGAAGAAGTAGAAGAATTCTGCCCAGTCAGAAATATAGGAGGATTGGGGGGGGGGATCTCAACATTGCCCTTTGGCCAAGAATGGGTACAAAGGATTGGCCATTCACTTGCTTCCTGCTATAAAGGAGAGTGGGGCCAGGGTGGGGATTTGGATGGGCATCCTTCCAGGTTCTGGTGTCAGCTGATACTGGGACTGGTGAGGGTGCTTAGCTGAAGCACTAGCAAGCTTGGGTGGTAGGCTGGATCAGGAGCAAGACGCCTATTTGGATCTAGAGGACTTAATCTTTTTCTGCTTGGTTTCTTGCCGCTAAGCAAATAGTTCAGTATTTTGGTGCAGCCTTAATTTTTTTGACTTGACCTGATAGGGTTAAGGAGGAAGAATTGGTTCAGCATGTGGAATTAAATGTTTTAAATGTTTTAATCACAGGGAGCATTATGATGATTAACTATATGAACGAAGGATTTATTTTGGAGGTAGTCTACTGAGTAGAACCACTTCCACTGCAGTTTTTGTTCCATCTTTTCACAGAACACTAGAACAGTTGTTTCCCCTAGTTCTTCCCCAACACCAAGAGGACATCCCCCCCCCCGTTGCTTATGGTAATGGCTGAAGTGATTCTGTTGAACTGCTGTGCGATACAACTCTAGTTTTCACAGTATTCCCAAATGAATGTCGATTCCACTATGATCCCATTAAAAATAACATCAGAGCTTACCCATTCAACATTGTCATGGCAACTGGAGCCTTTTGGTGAAATTCAGAACTATGTGTATCTGCAGTTTACAAATAATCATATTTGGGAAAGCTCTTTCTTAAATAATGGAGCCTGATTAGATTTTTTAAAAATTGTTTGTCATTTGCTTCAGCTGGACAAATCTCATGGTATGGGCCATGATAGCCAGTGGTAATGGGCCATGGTAGACCTCTCAGTCATCCAAACTGAAGGACCTAATCACAAATTCCACCTGGCACATGGTAGATGTAGGAAAAGGCGGACCTATGCTGACTTGCAACTGCTTCAGTCCAGGCTAAGTTGGCCACATACATGCGCAGTCACAGCTTTAATTTTGGCATATGGGTAAGAGGAAGCATGCCAAATGCCCTTTTTTCTGCAGCTGTGTCATAGATTGAGGTAGGTATATTAAACTACCCCTAAATGAGGAAGAGAGATGACCAGGGACAAAACATCTTGAAATAAGAGGTGTCTTTGTGATTGGCTGCAGAGATGGGAGAAATCCATGGTGCCAGTATTACTGGCATGGTCTGTGCAGTTGTAGGAATGATGTTGGCACAGTGTTTTCCTTGCCACATTTCCCAAGCTTCTGGGCGAACTTGGTATGTTTCTAGCTTAATGATATAAAGCTGATCCAGGAGCTCAGAACAAAGCCCATACAAATGCACTCCATCTGGTGGGAGGTGTTTGTGAATCAGCAGCCCAACTCCTGGCATAGTGCAGACATCTGTAGTGAAATCATGCAAGGCTTTTGTGTGGTGAAGGATACTTGAGAGGTGTGCGGGACTGAGGTAGGGAAACAGCACATTGTACTTGGGAGTGGAAGCAAAAGTAATCAAAATCTTTTGATCTATTACAGTGCTCTAAAACAAGAGAAGGGGCAATGAATAGTATAAACAACGCTGTCTTACTGCTACTTTCCCAAGATGCATCAGAAATATTACTTCAATGTAGCGTTAGTACTAAACATAGGATGCCAAATTGCAGCAATCCTCACCTTAATCTGGTGTTACACATCATGTAGGTCAATCAGTGTTGATAAACTAAATGTAACTGATGTTGAAGTATTGTCTGCTTTTAGGTACCTGGTAATTTTCACGTATCAACACACAGTGCCACTGCACAGCCACAGAATCCTGACATGACACACATCATCCACAAGCTCTCCTTCGGTGACAAGCTACAGGTGAGTCCACACTGGGAGATCTGGCTCTCAAGAGGATCAGAGAGGAGCTATGTGTGCCAAATGCTAAACCTTGATGTGCTGCTGTGAGAGGTATTTGGAGAAGAACCACTTCATATATAATGAAATACATATGATTATTTACAAACACACTTGCACAGTGGAACCAGTATAGCATAAGTACACTTGTACATACTCCCTCTTGTTAAATACAGTTGCTTGAAGTACCTTGTGATTTAGGATATTTGTTAACAACTGAAAACAAGCTATCTGTCTCAGTTACGAAAAATGATTTGATCTGGTGACTCCTTTCTGAAAATACCATATACTGCAACACTTCAAAGATGATAACATTTGTTAATGTAAATAGTGTGCCTTGGCTCTGTCATCTCATAACATATGTTCAGGTGGGTAGCCGTGTTGGTCTGAAACAGCAGAACAAAATTTGAGTCCAGTAGCCCCTTTAAGACCAACAAAATTTTATTCGCGTTATAAGCTTTTATGTGCAGGCACACTTTTTCAGATACTTGCACACAAATGCTTATACCTTGAATAAAATTTTGTGGGTCTTAAAAGTGCCACTTGACTGAAACTTTGATTTCCCATAAAGTATGAACATGCTTGTATACAGTGATCTAATGAACTCAGACCTCATTGCAGGTGGCCAGTGAAAACCGGTTGCCTGAATTATTTCCTTCTTTGTACTCTCTAAGGGAATAGCCACAGTATGACTTGGGTGCATTATGTGTGTTGTATGGTACTTGCACAGTGTAGGAGGAGTGTCTTAACATTTTATGGTCTGTAGTCATCAGTTTATATAACATGGGAATGGGTAGTGACCCTTGCAAATCCTGCTACTGCCTCTTTCTCTAAGTATTAGTTCCAGGTAGGATATTTCACTGACGCCCCCCCATTGGACCCCCTACTTCTGTTTCCTCTGGTACCACTCAGAAAAGGGTAGGTTAGAATGGCATAGAAGTAAATTGGCCTGAACTGGGGTTTCTTTTTATATATAGTTTGAAACCTGGGGCCCAGTTAACCCATTACCTTACTTCCTGTGGGGAACTAGTGATGTATTTACCATATCTGGTCTGGAGAGTTTCAGGGGCCAATCTAGAGATAGGCAGGGAAACTGTTCCCAGATTGTTCTGCTAGCAGGCCAGGCTATTGTGTACAGTTGGAACTGCCAGACATTGGGGCATTCCAGCTACTCTTCCCTGGATGTGACATCTGTCTCCTTGCTTATCCTTCCTGCGAGCTGGCAGCATCCTCGGGATTTGGTGTCACAGAGTAACAGTTCCATTTTAGGCAGAGAAGGAAAGGATATTAGGGAGGGGGTGAGTGGCCTCTCACTGCGGTAGCAACAGGCGTGAGAAGTTAACAAGATACTCTTAAATGGTTTCTTTTTTAAAAAAAATCGTTAATATGAAGAAAAACATATAAAATATTCAAGCCTCCGTTGCTATTTTAAAAACCCTTTTAACCAGCCAAAGAAAGTGCATGTACATGCTTCATGGCACATACTTTCGAGACATTGAGATTAACTATATCTATGTACATACGCTTATCATTCTCCGAAGATTCTAAAAAGGGCCTGCCTGGTTGCAGGGTTACTCGTGTAACCAGTCAGAGGCCCAGTTTTTTTGCTAACCAATAAAGTCCTCTTTTAAGTAATAGCTCTCAGTAATCTCTCTAAATGTGTATTGATATGCTAAAGAACACTTTGAAAACTTCTAAAGCATTGATAAAATCTCACAAGATTTTACTGAGCAGTTGGGACTGGGGGGGGAGGGGCTAATGAAAGCTTCAACTCTCTTGGGAGGAGTAGCTGCTATTGTATTATTTTCTGAGTATGTGGAAACCTCATTGATTTTTGTAAGGCAGCCCATATTTGTGCTTATTTGTAACATGCTCCTGTTTGGCATGATTGTGGTCAAGTAGGAAGAGAGATTGTACTGTACTCCTCTTACAGCTGAGATGAAGTAGGGTGCTTTTACTGTGCACGAACACTGCTGACAGCTGTGTCAACTCTACCTCCATCTTTGCAATCCCTGCCCGAGCTTGCCTAACTGTACAAATGACTCCAGTTTAGCAGGTGTTGGTCCTTGTACTTTAGCGCCACCTGTGGAAGAGGTATCCATGGGAGTGTGGATCCATTCTATGCAGAAGAGAAGCATATCAGTCCAAAGCAGTGTGAGGTGGTATTTTTTACCTTGTTTCCCAAATCTAGATATTTTCAGTTGTGGAAGGTTAGATAAGAGCAATTCTGCTGCTGTACTGCCATGCATTAGTACTCAAAAGTGAGGCACAAATGTGTCCAATAACATTAACAACACATTGCTTTCTATTCCTCCTCCATCCTTGTTCTTCTTTAAGTGGAGAGCAACAGGAGGCCTCTTTTAGGTCAGAATGGGCTGAGGAAAGGCTCCTCGAGTATGATGAAGTGCTGTGGTGATGTTACATAACTCCCAGCAGAAATAGCCCACTGCACTCTACCACTTGTACCCTACTTTGTGAGCTTACTTCATTGGGTTGCAGTAATATTTTCTCACCTACCCCACCATGTGTAGCAGCCATGCTTTTAACCATAGTGACTTTGCTATCTCTGCATCCTCAATGTAGGCACACAATACTCAAAACCCTTTCTAACAGTAGTTTCCAGGCCCCTCCTCAATTTTGTCTGTGGCTTCTTTTTGCAAGGACTAAAATATTACCATATTCATTAGGTTTTAAGGAGTAGGATCAACACCATGGGTTAAATGTTGATGGGGTACTGCACCACTTGGTGGGTGGAACATGCAAGGCAAGAGGGTCACTGAGGTAACCTACCGTGTCCCTTGCAGGCAAGATGGGGAGGCTAAGGCCAGCAGCATAATGGTAGGACTGGTACAAAGAGAACTGGCTGCCACTGTTAGGCCCACCAGTATGGCACGTGACTATACATTGTGTCATCATCACACTGAGGAAGAAACAAAGTTGTGCCTAAGACCAAAGCCAGCGTGCTGGCTTTGCCATGCTACCTTTCTTGGGGTGAATGCCTCCCTCTAGAGTACCTGCTTCCTTGGAGCACTTGATTCAGTTATCTGTGCCCTTCTGCTTGTACTCCTTTGAATGTCAAATGCTTCCTGGTGTCCAATGTGTAACACTGCCTGCCTTCTGAGGATGCCAGGTGCCTGTCTCTCCCTATTCTGCAAGCAAAAATTCTAATTGCTTATAAAAATTTCTGCTGTTTGCCTGAATTTGACAAAGGGGCAGGGTCATGATCCCTGAAAGTGTCACCCCAGTTGGATGGAAACCTAAGGACTTACAGCCCAATTGTATATTTTCCCCATTAACAGATGGACACTTTAAAAAAATGTGGTAATGAATTGAAAATCAATAGCACTTTAAGAAATGGGGCAGGAAGCCTCTAAATATTTGGGCATATTTTTCCAGGATCTTGAGCAGCTATCTTTTCTAACTTTCCTACCTATGTTCCTTTAATTGGGGGTGTAAGGCATTGAACTTTGCTTCATATATATCATTACTGAAGAACTGTGATCCATCCCCACAGTGATTTTTTTAAAGGTGGAGCCTTCACCATTCCCCACGTACAAATTCAGACAGGTTTTGAACTGGCAGCCCCAGCAGTTTATATTCCTGAAATGCAACAAACTGATCATTTTGATCGTTTTAATAATATAGGTGTTGATAGGAATATAAAGAAATTACTTTGCCTTCCATGAATCTTGCAAGTTGATTATCAGAAACTTCCTCTTAATAACATAGTTGAGAAGTTCCATAATGATAATTTTTTTAAAGACTTTTAAACTCAGGGGCCTATAATTTATAGTTCTAGAGCCAAATGTGGCTCAGAACTGAACCAGGTATGGCTGTTCAAAAAAGAAAGTGAATTACTTAAGGTTTATTGCTGGAGTTGGTGGGATGCTAGAATACACTGTAGATGATGGGAATGGCAGGCAAAGGTTTTTATGGGACTAAAAGACTTCTTAGAGATGCTTTACAAAAAGTAAAATGAGGTAGCTGAATGGTTGCCAGTAATCCAGGTGTGACCCATGGACAGATTTATGCTAATGCACTTAACCACACAAGATGCTTCTGTGTATGTTTACTCATTATTTGTGAGACCTTGTGTATGCCACTTCCAAATAAGACTCACAACAGCCAATGTTTGGGCTGCAGATTGTGTTAAGTTATATATTCTTCTTTGTTGTCTCTGTGCATCACACATATGGGATCTCAAGTGTGCGCATGCAGAGCCTCAGAACCTATAAAAGCTTTAAAACTTTGAGCATGAGCCTCCCCTCCCACAACGACCAGTCATTGTGCACGCCTGGAATGGGCATGGTCACAATCATCCGTCAGTTCTTCCTTAATCACCACAGCAGCAGCTGCCTCTAAAGGGACCTTCTCATTCTCAGTTTCTTCAAATTATGTATGTAAATGCAATGAAAGAAAAATATACTTAGATTTCAGCTGCATGTTTATAGTGCAGCATACAACATTTAAGAATTGTTCTGACTGCAAGGGAAAAATCCCAGCCACATAGCCTTTGCCTTTTCTAGTTAAGGGAGGAGCATAAAGTGGATTCCTGCAAGCATTGCCTTAAGTTGACAAAACAAGCTAGGCACAGTCTTGATAACAGACTAAAGACCAGGGGTCTTTTGGGGGCAGAGCGCTGCTCCAGGAGCCCAGGAGCTGGCAAAATGGCGGTGGCAGCAAGCCCCCCCAGCTCCCCGTGCTACGGCTTGTCGCTGCTTTCCATGCTGGAGCGTTGCGGCCCTGGGGAGTCCCGAGGAGGCCTATTGCTGCCTTCCCGGGGCCCTCGCTGGAGCGCTGCGGCCCTGGGAAGGCTGGAGGAGGCCTGTCACTGCGTTCCCAGGGCCGCGCCAGAGCACTGCGGCCCCGGGGAGGCCGGAGGAGACCCGTCACTGTCCCCCTGGGCCTGTGCCAGAGCGCTGCAACCCCGGGTGAAGGCCAGAAGAGGCCCCCCACCGCCTCCC